CGTTACTTAGGGACACAAGAACCGTTACTTAGGGCCACAGAAACGTTACTTAGGGCCACAGAAACATTACTTAGGGACACAGAACCGTTACTTAGGGCCACAGATTCGTTACTTAGGGACACAGAACCGTTACTTAGGGACACAGAAACGTTACTTAGGGACACAGAAACGTTACTTAGGGCCACAGAACCGTTACTTAGGGCCACAGAAACGTTACTTAGGACACAGAACCGTTACTTAGGCCACAGAACCGTTACTTAGGGCCACAGAACCGTTACTTAGGGCCACAGAACCGTTACTTAGGGGACACAGAACCGTTACTTAGGAAACACAGAATTGTTACTTAGGGACACAGAACCGTTACTTAGGGCCACAGAACCGTTACTTAGGGCCACAGAACCGTTACTTAGGGACACAGAATTGTTACTTAGGGACACAGAATTGTTACTCAGGACAGACACAGAATTGTTACTGAGGGACACAGAATTGTTACTGAGGGACACAGAATTGTTACTCAGGGACACAGAATTGTTACTCAGGGACACAGAATTGTTACTCAGGGACAGACACAGAATTGTTACTGAGGGACACAGAATTGTTACTGAGGGACACAGAATTGTTACTCAGGACAGACACAGAATTGTTACTCAGGGACACAGAATTGTTACTCAGGGACACAGAATTGTTACTCAGGGACAGACACAGAATTGTTACTGAGGGACACAGAATTGTTACTCAGGGACACAGAATTGTTACTCAGGGACAGACACAGAATTTGTTACTGAGGGACACAGAATTGTTACTGAGGGACACAGAATTGTTACTGAGGGACACAGAATTGTTACTCAGGGACACAGAATTGTTACTCAGGGACAGACACAGAATTGTTACTGAGGGACACAGAATTGTTTACTGAGGGACACAGAATTGTTACTGAGGGACACAGAATTGTTACTGAGGGGACACATAATTGTTACTCAGGGACACAGAATTGTTACTCAGGGACACAGAAATGTTACTGAGGGACACAGAATTGTTACTGAGGGACACAGAATTGTTACTCAGGGCTAAGAATTGTTACTCAGGGAAACAGAGTTGTTACTCAGGGACACAGAATTGTTACTCAGGGACAGACACAGAATTGTTACTGAGGGACACAGAATTGTTACTGAGGGACACAGAATTGTTACTCAGGGACAGACACAGAATTGTTACTCAGGGACACAGAATTGTTACTCAGGGACACAGAATCGTTGAATTAAAAAGTATGTCAGACAACATGCAGAGGAGTGGCAGAGGAGGCAATGTTTTAGGAGCGAGCAGACGTGGCAGCAGAGGAAGGGGTCGAGGCAGCACTAGTCGCAGCCAGAGGCCAGTGCTCCCGGTGTCATTCAGCGGTCGTGTCTCCACCGACAACCCTGCCGTCATCGATTGGTTGGCTTGGTCGTCTTCCTCTTCCCAGGTCACCTCTGACACCTACAGCCAACGGTCGGTGGGTACGTCCGACACAACCATTAGTTGGCATGGCCCGGGAGCAAGCCCACTGAAATCACGTGTCCTCTACCTGCCCCTGTCCTTTTGGTGTTCCCTCACCAAGCAAAATATCGCATGCTGTGGGCTCAGCCCCACTGTACAGTGAGGAAGAGCTAACAGAGGGCGGTCAGGAACGGGGGGAGACATCCACCTCTTCAGCAGCCAGGCGAAGAAGTAGTGGCGAGGAGAGTGGCTCGGTAGCCGGTCTAGAGACAGGTCTGTCTCCTGACCCACACGCAGCCGAGGGGGCTAGTAGTGAGGCGGAGACCCTAATTGATGATGATGAGGCTGATCGCACTTGGCAGCCTCGTCGTCATCAGGCTATTGCTTCCGCATCATCAGGAGAAGAGGGTGGCAGCTTGGCAGCGAGCAAAACAGTCGGTGGGTTGCCCAGGAGGCAGCAGGTCGCAGCAGTGTCAGTGGAGGCAAACGGCCACGGAGTAGAGCACCAGCTCCACTGCAGCCTACCACCACGGCCAGTAGTGGTGCCGGTGTGCACGGAGGAAGTAGCAGTCAGCCAGTGAGGAGTATCGGGGGCAAAGTTTCCTACTCGGCGGTGTGGCAATTTTTCGTCAAACCGCCCGAGGAAGTAAACGTAGCCGTATGTCGACTATGTGGCCAGAAAGTCAAGCGTGGCCAGGGGCCCATGTTGGGACTACAGCGTTGCGGCAGCATATGCAGCGTCGCCATTTGGTGGCCTTGGAAAACCGTGATAAAGATACGGCGGTTCTGCCTGCCCCAGCCCCCGCTCCATCACCCGCTCCGTTACTTGCTCTCCGTCACCCGACGTCAATCGCCCTCTATCAGCCAGTCAAGGCTCCAACACCTCTGCTGAGGGGAGTTGTCGCTCGTTGGCATCTTCCGCTCGTTCAGATGCTCCTTCTCCTGCTACTCCTCTTCACGGATTCCGTCAGCAGTCTTTCTTGGAATCCGTTTCCAAGAGACAGCAGTTTGTGAGCACGCACCCGACGGTGCAAAAGCTGAACGTCCTCCTGTCCAAGTTGCTGGTGCTGCATCCCCCCTTTCCAAGAGGTGGACTCAGCACCTTTCCGAGAAATGATGGCTTGTGCCGAGCCGCGGTGGAGAGTGCCAAGCCTGGCATATTCTTCGCCAAAAAGGCAGTGCCAGCCCTGCATTCACATGTAGAAGAGATGGTGGGGCCAGTCTTTGAGCATGTCGGTCTCTGCCAAAGTGCTTGGCAGCGCCGACGTGTGGAGAGCTGTAACTACGTCAGGGACAGTACATGTAATTTATGGCCCACTGGGTGAACGTGGTGCCGGCACAGCCCCACCAGCAACTTGGACAGTCACGCCGCTTTTGCCTCCACGTTTGCACGTCCTTGGTCCACAAAAGATGTCCGCCTCTACCACCTCTTCTTCCGCCGTGTCCTCAGCCGCCACCCCCCGTGCCAAGTCCCATTACCCGACCGGCATATCACATGTGCAGGGCGCAACGGTGTCACGCTGTGCTGCACCTGGTATGCCTTGGCGAACGTAGTCACACAGGGGGAGGAACTTCTGAGTGTAATGAGAACAGAGAAATCGACAGATGCTGTCTCCGCGCAAACTGAAAATCGGAACCATGTTGACCGACAACGGAAAGAACATGGTGTACTGCTCTGCGTCAAGGAAGGTTGTGCCATGCGCCATGCATGGCTCACGTGTTCAATCTGGGTTGTCAAGCGGTTCCTACAAATCCACCATCCCACTGCAAGACATCCTTAAAATGTCACGTAAACTTTGAATGCATTTCAGCCATTCCTACACCGCAAAGCACACCCTCCTTGAGCTGCAGCGGCAGAACAGAATTCCACAGCATCGCCTGATCTGCGACGTTGCAACAAAGGTGGAATTCAACCCTACACATGTTAGACCGCCTTTACGAACAGCGAAAGGCCATCACCGATTTCCTGATGTTACAAGCAATAAAGGTACTCCCCTGTGTAACTTCGATGTCAGCCATTGGCAGCTCATGCGTGACACCTGCCGCGCTTGCTGGAGGCCCTTTGAGGAGGCCACGCTATTCGTGAGTCGGCAGGACTATGGGATGAACGACGTCATTCCTCTGTTGCACGTCCTGGAACAAATGCTGTTAACAATGGCTGGTCAGGGTGCGGTAGACGTGGCGCACAGATCTCAACGCCACATGACCCCTGTGGGGGCAGGACAGGAAGAAGAGGAGGAGGTAGAGGAGGACATTTGTGCTCAGGAATTATTGAGTGAAATGGGTGGTTTTTCCACTCAGCGGACAGGAGTGGAGGAGCAGAGCATCTGGTAGAGGAGGAGGAGGAGGAGACAGAGGACCCAGACGCACCGTGGCAGTATGCTGTGGAGATGGAGGCAGGAGTCCCTCGCATTCCTTGGCACAAATGGCCCATAGCATGCTCGGTTGCTTGCGTAGCGACAGCTGAATAATAACCATCAGACAAGAGGATGACTTTTGGCTGTCCACCTTGTTGGACCCTCGCTACCATTCAAAAATGGTGGCCTTTTTTCACACCTGCTGAGAGGGAGGCCAAATAACGTACTATAAAAACCACCTATGTATCAGTTGGTCTCTGCCTTTCTGCGCCAACGTCCATCATCAGACACTGTGGGCCCTGTGCGCTCGCGTTCCGCTGCCATGGCAGCAGGGGAGGGGTGGGGTGGTAGGAGCAGTGGCAGCTCCACCAGCAGCGCTGCCTCAGTCTGCAGTCGATGATGAGTAGCTTTCTTCACCAGCGCAGTGAGGAAACTACTAACCAGCCGCACAGCAGCAGCATCAGGTGGACCTGGAGCAGGACCTCAAACAACAGGCTTGGGCCTACTTGGACAGCACCCTGCCAACCGAGGTAGACAATCCCCTTGACTACTGGGCAACGAAACTTGACCTTTGGACCCAACTAGCTGAATTTGCCCTTGAAAGGCTGTCATGGCCAGGGCAGTAGCGTGGCATCGAGCGCGTGTTTAGTGCGGCAGGAGGTATTGTAACTCCGCCGCGGAGAGACACGACTGTCCACCCGAAGTGTGGAGACTCACGTTTGTGAAAATGAATCAGGCGTGGATTAGTCTGGATTTCAAACCACCAGTTCCTGACACAACTGACTAAATCCGCCATGAATCATGCCCCAAACATGTGCCACTTTCAGGTCTCCTCAACACTGCTGTGCTGTCCAGTTTTTATTGTTGTTCATAGGGTGCTGGGCAGATTACAGGCCTCCCATTAGCTGCTGCCAGGCCTGTAATCTGCCATGGCCCCTACCGTACCGCCTCCTCATGCTGCTGCCAGGTCCACAGTGTCTCATGGGTCCCTGTACGGCCTCCCATTGCTGCTGTCTCCATCGCCACACTAACTCTGCCATGTGCCACTTTCAGGTCTCCTCACACACTGCTGTGTGTTTCCATTTTGTCATAGGGTGCTGGCAGATTACGGGCCTCCTATTGCTGCTGCCAGGCCCGTAATCTGCCATGGGCCCCCGTACCGCCTCCTCATGCTGCTGCCAGGTCCAGAGTCTCTCATGGGTCCCTGTACGGCCTCCCATTGCTGCTGTCTCCATCGCCACACTCTGCCATGTGCCACTTTCAGGTCTCCTCACACTGCTGGTGTGGGTTCCATTTTGTCATAGGTGCTGGCAGATTACGGGCCTCCCATTGCTGCTGCCATGGGGGGGGGGGGCAGGGCCGGCGCTAATCTGCCATGGGCCCCTGTACCGCCTCCTCGGTCATGCTGCTGCCAGGGTCCAGAGTGTCTCATGGGGTCCCTGTACGGCCTCCCATTGCTGCTGTCTCCATCGCCCACACTCTGCCATGTGCCACTTTCAGGTCTCCTCACACTGCTGTGTGTTCCATTTTGTCATAGGGTGCTGGCAGATTACGGGCCTCCCATTGCTTGCTGCCAGGCCGTAATCTCCATGGGCCCCTGTACCGCCTCCTCATGCTGCTGCCAGGTCCAGAGTGTCTCATGGGTCCCTGTACGGCCTCCCATTGCTGCTGTCTCCAACGCCACACCTGCCATGTGCCACTTTCAGGTCTCCTCACACTGCTGGTGTGTTCCATTTTGTCATAGGGTGCTGCAGATTACGGGCCTCCCATGCTGCTGCCAGGCCGCCTGTAAACTGCCATTGGGTGGCCCCCGTACCGCCTCCTCCATGCTGCTGCCAGGTCCTGATCTCTCATGGGTCCCTGTACGGCCTCCCCATTGCTGCTGTCTCCATCGCCCACACTTCTGCCATGTGCCACTTTCAGTCTCCTCACACTGCTGTGTGTATGTTTCCACTTTTGTCATAGGGTGCTGGCAGATTACGGGCCTCCCATTGCTGCTGCCAGGCCCGTAATCTGCCATGGGCCCCTGTACCGCCTCCTCATGCTGCTGCCAGGTCCAGAGTGTCTCATGGGTCCCTGTACGGCCTCCCATTGCTGCCTGTCTCCATCGCCACACTCTGCCATGTGCCACTTTCAGGTCTCCTCACACTGCTGGTGTAGGTGTTTTCCATTTTGTCCATAGGGTGCTGGCAGATTACGGCCTCCCATAGCTGCTGCCAGGACCCGTAAATTGCCATGGGCCCCCTATACCGCCTCCTCATGCTGCTGCCAGGTCCAGAGTGTCTGATCATCATGGTGTCCCCTGTACGCCTCCCATTGCTGCTGTCTCCATCGCCACACTCTGCCATGTGCCACTTTCAGGTCTCCTCACACTGCTGGTGTGTTCCATTTTTGTGACATAGGGTGCTGGCAGATTACGGGCCTCCCATTGCTGCTGCCAGGCCCTAATCTGCCATGGGCCCCTGTAACCGCCTCCTCATGCTGCTGCCAGGTCCAGAGTGTCTCATGGGTCCCTGTACGGCCTCCCATGCTGCTAGTCTCCATCGCCACACTCTGCCATGTGCCACTTTCAGGTCTCCTCACACTGCTGGTGTGTTCCATTTTGTCATAGGGTGCTGGCAGATTACGGGCCTCCCATAGCTGCTGCCAGGCCCTGTAATCTGCCATGGGCCCCTGTACCGCCTCCTCATGCTGCTGCCAGGTCCACAGTGTCTCTCATGGGTCCCTGTACGGCCTCCCATTGCTGCTGTCTCCATCGCCACACTCTGCCATGTGTGCCACTTTCAGGTCTCCTCACACACTGCTGGTGTGTTCAATTTTTGTCATAGGGTGCTGGCAGATTACGGGCCTCCCATTGCTGCTGCCAGGCCCCTAATCTGCCATGGGCCCCTGTACCGCCTCCTCATGCTGCTGCCAGGTCTCAGAGTCTCTCAGATTGGGTCCCTGTACGGCCTCCCATTGCTGCTGTCTCCATCGCCACACTCTGCCATGTGCCACTTTCAGGTCTCCTCACACACACTGCTGGTGTGTTCCATTTTTTGTCATAGGGTGCTGGCAGATTACGGGCCTCCCATAGCTGCTTGCCAGGCCCTAATCTGCCATGGGCCCCTGTACCGCCTCCTCCTCATGCTGCTGCCAGGTCCACAGTGTCTCATGGGTCCCTGTACGGCCTCCCATTGCTGCTGTCTCCATCGCCACACTCTGCCATGTGCCACTTTCAGGTCTCCTCACACTGCTGGTGTGTTCAATTTTTTGACATAGGGTGCTGGCAGATTACGGGCCTCCCATTGCTGCTGCCAGGCCCGTAATCTGCCATGGGCCCCTGTACCGCCTCCTCATGCTGCTGCCAGGTCCAGAGTGTCTCATGGGTCCCTGTACGGCCTCCCATTTGCTGCTGTCTCCATCACACTCTGCCATGTGCCACTTTCAGGTCTTCCTCACACTGCTGGTGTGTTCCATTTTTGTCATAGGGTGCTGGCAGATTACGGGCCTCCCAGCTGCTGCCAGGCCCTAATCTGCCATGGGCCCCTATACCGGCCTACCGCCTCCTCATGCTGCTGCCCAGGTCCCAGAGTGTCTCATGGGTCCCTGTACGGCCTCCCATTGCTGCTGTCTCCATCGCCACACTCTGCCATGTGCCACTTTCAGGTCTCCTCACACTGCTGGTGTTCCAACATTTTTTGTCATAGGGTGCTGGCAGATTACGGGCCTCCCATTGCTGCTGCCAGGCCCGTAATCTGCCATGGGCCCCTGTACCGCCTCCTCATGCTGCTGCCAGGTCCAACCAGGTGCGCAGAAGTCTCTCATGGGTCCCTGTACGGCCTCCCATTGCTGTGCTGCTGTCTCGCCATCGCCACACTCTGCCATGTGTGCCACTTTCAGGTCTCCTCACACTGCTGGTGTGTTCCATTTTTTCATAGGGTGCTGGCAGATTACGGGCCTCCCATTGCTGCTGCCAGGCCCCGTAATCTGCCATGGGCCCCCGTACCGACTCCTCATGCTGTGACGTTGCAACAAGGTGGAATTCAACCCTACATATCTCCTATCGCCACACGTTAGACCGTCCTTTACGAACAGCGAAAGGCCATCACAGATTTCCTGATGTTTACAAGCGGATACAGGTACTCCCCTGTGTGCTGCCACTTCGATGTCAGCCATTGGCAGCTCATGCATGACACAATTGCCGCTTGCTGAGGCCCTTGAGGAGGCCACGCTATTCGTGATCTCCGGCAGGACATGGGATGAATGACGTCATTCATCTGTTGCACGTCCTGCCGGGAACAAATGCTTTTAACAATGGCTGGGTCATGGGTGCGGTAGAGACGTGGCGCACATGCTGATCTCCAACGCCACATGACCCCTGTGGGGCATGACAGGCCAGGAGGTAGAGAGGACATTTGTGCTCAGGAATTATTGAGTGAAATGGATGGTTTTTCCACTCAGCGACAGGAGTGGAGGAGCAGGAGCATCTGGTAGAGGAGGAGGAGGAGGAGACAGAGGACCCAGACGCACCGTGGCAGTATGCTGTGGAGATGGAGGCAGGGAGTCCCTCGCATTCCTTGGCACAAATGGGCCCATAGCATGCTCGGTTGCATTTGCGTAGCGACAGCCGAATAATAACCATCAGACAGAGGGATTGACTTTTGGCTGTCCACCTTGTTGGACCCTCGCTACCGTTCAAAAATGTGGCCTTTTTCACACCTGCTGAGAGGGAGGCCAAAATAACGTACTATATAAAAACGCCACCTATGTAGTCAGTTGGTCTCTCTGCCTTTCTGCGCCAACGTCCATCCTCAGACACTGTGGGCCCTGTGCGCTCCTCGGTTCCGCTGCCAGAGCATGGCAGCAGGGGGGGTGGGGTGGTAGGAGCAGTGGCAGCTCCAACCAGCAGCGGCTGCCTCAGTCTGCAGTCGATGATGAGTAGCTTTCTTCACCAGCGCAGTGAGGAAACTACTAACCAGCCGCAGCAGCAGCAGCATCTCCATCAGGTGGACCTGGAGCAGGACCTCAAACAACAGGCTTGGGCCTACTTGGACAGCACCCTGCCAACCGAGGTAGACAATCCCCCTTTGACTACTGGGCAACGAAACTTGACCTTTGGCCCCAACTAGCTGAATTTGGCCCTTGATTGGCTGTCATGCCCGGCATAGCGTGCATCGGAGCGCGTGTTTAGTGCGGCAGGAGGTATTGTAACTCCGCGCAGGACACGACTGTCCACCCAAAGTGTGGAGAGACTCACGTTTGTGAAAATGCTCAGGCGTGATTAGTCTGGATTTCAAACCACCAGTTCCTGACACAACTGACTAAATCCTGTCGCCAAGAATCATGCCCCAAACATGTGCCACTTTCAGGTCTCCTCACACTGCTGGTGGTTCCATTTTTGTCATAGGGTGCTGGCAGATTACGGGCCTCCCATTGCTGCTGCCAGGCCCGTAATCTGCCATGGGCCCCCTACCGCCTCCTCATGCTGCTGCCAGGTCCAGAGTCTATCATGGGTCCCTGTACGGCCTCCCATTGCCTGCTGTTTTCTCCATCGCCACACATCTGCCATGTGCCACTTTCAGGTCTCCTCACACTGCTGGTGCTGTCCATTTGTCATAGGTTGCTGGCAGATTACGGGCCTCCCATTGCTGCTGCCAGGCCCGTAATCTGCCATGGGCCCCCTATACCCCGCCTCCTCATGCTGCTGCCAGGTCCCAGAGTCTCTCATGGGTCCCCTGTAACGGCCTCCCATTGCTGCTGTTTCCATCGCCACACTCTGCCATGTGCCACTCTGCCATTCCACTTTCAGGTCTCCTCACACTGCTGGTGGGTTCCATTTTGTCATAGGGTCTGGCAGATTACGGGCCTCCCATTGCTGCTGCCAGGCCCGTAATCTGCCATGGGCCCCCGTACCGCCTCCTCATGCTGCTGCCAGGTCCAGAGTGTGTCATGGGTCCCTGTACGGCCTCCCATTGCTGCTGTCTCCATCGCCACACTCTGCCATGTGCCACTTTCAGGTCTCCTCACACTGCTGGTGGGGTTCCATTTTGTCATAGGGTGCTGGCAGATGCTTACGGGCCTCCCATTGCTGCTGCCAGGCCCGTAATCTGCCATGGGCCCCTGTACCGCCTCCTCATGCTGCTGCCAGGTCCAGAGTGTGTCATGGGTCCCTGTACGGCCTCCCATGCTGCTGCTGTCTCCATCGCCACACTCTGCCATGTGCCACTTTCAGGTCTCCTCACACTGCTGGTGGGTTCCATTTTTGTCATAGGGTGCTGTAATGGCCTCCCATTGCTGCTGCCTCCACTGCCCGCCACACTGTGGCTCCACACTCTGGTTTTGGCCCCGTGACTGCCCAAATGAGTGAAGTGTGCGGTGATTCTAAGATCGACGGCACTCATCTGCATGTCATACTGACTGACAGTATTATTTTCTCTCCCCAGCAGACTCCAAGGGCATTTAAATTAAAGGTACAGTGTTCTGCACTAATATAAAGGCTCTCTGAAGCCTAGAAACACCCTTTTATAAGTTAAATTTGCAGCGAATATATTCGCATCGAATCAAATTTATTTCCTCGAATTCGCCGAATCAGCCGAATCGAATTTTTGAATACTTCGCTCATCTCTAGTTATGAAGTAGGCTTGTTTGGCAGTGTGGAGGGAGGAGGTGTAGGTGAGGAAGGAGGATTTGTAGAGGGAGAACGCTCGAGGGGATCGGTTTTGCACCATAATCGCTCCAGCGCTTGATGCGCTGCGTCGTTTAAAGATTTTTAGTGTGGTCGTTCTACCAGGGTTGAAGCGGTCGGGGTCTAATGCTACATGTGGTTAGGGGTGCTAAGGAGTCTAAGGCAGCTGACAGCGAGTTGTTATACGCAGTAGTGGCCAGGTCAGGGCATGACAGTGGAAAGATACTGTCATACAGATGGTTAGCTGCAGAGTGGAGAGGGGCCAGGTTCAGGTTGCGGAAGTTCCGGCTGGTGATGATTTGACGTTTGGGGGGGTGTTGAGGACGGGGCTACGGAGAATGTAATAAGGTTGTGGTCAGAGAGAGGGAAAGGGGTGTTTTGTGAGGTTGTAGAGGGTGCAGAGATGGGAGAAAACGAGGTCCAGGGTGTTCCCGTTGGTGCGGGTGGAGATGTAAAGATTTTACACTGGTACTTTGTGACAGTAGTTGATCACTGGTGTCAGATGTGTACTCACTGCACTCACTGTGTTCATTCATAACCCAAGCAGAGTAAACGGTGTTTATTTGAAGGTGGCCTTTTTAGTTTGGTTGTATGGGGCTGTCACGGTGTAGCCGCTGTCCCTGCTCGCTCCCCCCCTCGCAGCACCCTCTCATCCTGCACACAGCATTTGAAGCAGGCTGTGCAGGATGGGGGGAGGGAACTCTTGTGGCGAGGATCATGGCCCCCCCCGGCAATCTAGCTGGGGGAGCTGTGACCCCCCGGCAGGACCCCCCGGGGGGGCCGCCAGGAGGTCTCCACACGCCCCAGAGGGACGCAGCGCGGTCGCAGGGCTTCCCGCACTCTGCGCCCACCAGTGAAAAAGGTCACACTCATGAGAGCGCGGCCCGAGTCAAGGGGGCATGCCTCGTTGCCCCAACAATGCGGGCGCTGGGCCGGCCGTTGCCGGGGCAACCCGGAAGCGTCCTGTGCGGCTTTAAAAGTCCGCTCGGGACCCAGGCCGGCCTCTTCCTCCTGTGTCTTCGGTTTCCACCACAGCTGTTCTGTTGGGAAGTCCGGGTGGGACCAGACCTTCGCAGCCATCCCCGCTGGGCACTCTGCAAGAGACCCCCCCCAAAGGTCAGAACCGTTACCCGCTGCCACTCTGCTAATACTCCAGGGCTGGGAGTGTCCCTGGTAGCTGTCTGTGTGTGTGTTCTCATTCCTTCTCGGGACAGGGTGCTGTGCGGGGTCTGTGCTGAGGCCAGGCCCCACAGCCAAGACCCTGCAAGCCTGCTGTGTCCCTACCTGCTGAAGCTTGCTGTATCCCTACTGGCTGGAGCGCTGGGTTCCTGGGAAGCCGTCCCTGTCTGTTGATCACTGGGTTCCTGGGAAGTCGCCCCCTGTATGCTGATCGCTGCTGTCCCTGGAAAGCTGGCTGCTGTGAGGGCCCCTGTCTACTGACCGCTGCTGTCCCTGGAAAGCTGCCCACTGGGAGGGTCCCTGCCTGCTGATCGCTGCTGTCCCTGGAAAGCTGGCCGCTGTAAGGGATCTCGGTCTACTGACCGCTGCTGTCCCTGGAAAGCTGACCGCTCTGAGGGCCGCTGTCCGTTGCTGAGTGTCCCTGGAAGCTGACCGCTGGGAGTGTCCCTGGAAGCTGTCCATTGCTGTATGTCCCTACAAGCTGCCCTGCTGCTGAGTGTCTGTAAGCCGCCTACCGTGAGTGTCCCTACAAGCTTGTTGTGGAGAGTCCTGGATTGCCCCTATTGTTGTGCTCAGACTACCCTTGTCATGAACTGCCCCATTGTGTGCCCAGACTACCCTTGTCATGAACTGCCCCTGATTGAGTGCCTTTCATAGTTCAGTAAAGCTTTGTGTGTTTACCATCTTCTTTGTGTGTGTTCTGTCCAGCCTATGCTTCTGTCACAGGGGCCTTATGGTTTTCAACAGCAGCCATGATGGGGTGATCAGTGTGTGTGTAACTCACTGTTTAACACAGATCGGCTCTGCTTCTCCTCACTGGTGGACCCTGTGTGAGGAGAGGCAGAGCCGATCAACAGACTGGCATCTTTGTTGACATTTCATGATGGCAGTGATTGGACACAGCTATCATGTGATTAGAAGGGCCAATCAGAAAGCCCTTCTGCCGTGTGGTGTTGCGCTGTGTCCAGGGGACACAGGCACACAGAGAGTGCGCAGCTGTGTGGCCACAAGGCCACATGTACCTACTTTTTGAGGGACTTTTAGGAATGTCCACTCAGAATAGCGAAGATCTCACTTGGCAGTTTTATGTGCATTGGCCAGGTGGGAAGTGGTTACGCACGAGGGGTGACCATGGTGTACTTTGCCAAAGTGATGAGGGATGGATTTTTCTCTTTATTGTTGGTGATCCTACATGTATGTTTCCCCAATTCTTACTCTTAGTGGGAAGTGTGGCTGATGTAAAGTCAGCCGCATTGGCAAATAATCACGTAAACTACATAGGCTGTACTGCAGTTAATAAATTGCTTTATGTGGTGAGCTTTCCCATCCATCCCAACAATAGTTTGTTTTCAGTGCCACATGTAAGCAAATGTGCCACAGTTTTTGATGCCACATTTGTAGCTACCTTTTTGATCAGACAAGGTTGTCCATTGACTATTTAGCATGGTGCCAGATTTATGGTATTTTCTGGTTCTACTAGGTGTGCAACTAGACTACTTAAATCCCATGGTTTTCTATAGACAATATTTGGTTTATTGTGCAGTATTTTTCCAAATACAGGGTCTTTGTCACGTACCTGGTTGGGGAGCATGACGTGGATAGGAGGCATCCTCTTACTACTCCCGCTCGGAGCCCCTGATAGTGGGAACAGATAATGCCGAGCCAGGAGTGGCAAAAGTGCCGGGTGGGTCTGGAGCCGGTGGCAGACAGGTGAAGACCCAGGAGATCTGGATGCAGGCCAGGTGCGGATGCAGGAACGTGGGTGCAGCAGCAGGAAGGTTTGGCGGCAATCAGGATGTAGGCCAATGCTGAGGGCAGGATATGCTTCTGAAGAGAGAGGTTTTCAGAGATCGCCTAAAAGTGATCAGAGTAGGCGATAGTCTGATAAATTGGGGTAGAGAGTTCCAGAGGATGGGGGAAGCTCTGGAAAAGTCCTGGAGATGAGCTACTGTGCATGCGCGACCGCACGCTCCCATGCATGCGCACTTGCACCGCCGTGGCCAGAGGGGATCCGGCACCATCGCACAGCTGCACGGAGGAGGGATCCCTGAAGTCTTGCTTTAGGATGTTCCAATTTTTCTTCATAATGTGTTGGATGTAAAAGGATCTATTAGTATATTGAGTGTTGAATCTAACCTGATTATTGTCAGGTCTACTTATTCGTACATGTTTCCTGGAAGGGCAGATGCATTGTTGTACAGTATCAAATATTTGCTATATTCCCATTCTAAATGTGAATCTTCATAGCCTTTTTCAATACATTTCTTTTTAAGTAATGCACTTTGTTCTTCATTTTCTTCTCTCTTTGTACATGTCCGCTAAAGCCTACAAAATTGTCCATATGTACACTGTGTATCCATCTTGGATGATGGCTACTTTTAGCATGCAGGTATGAGTTGCCCCCACTAGGTTTGAAGTGGGTTTTGGAATAAACATTCCTTTCTAAATCAACACTGAGTTCCAAATCAAGGAAAATAGGACATTTCTCATCTGCAACATAGGTAAACATAATCCAAAAGGGATTGTTGGCATAGTAGTCAAAAAAATCACTCAGCTTTTATCTGAACCATCTCAGATGATTAGAATACCATCTATATATCTAGCGTAGAGGACCAGGTTAACTCCATAGGCATTATTGCTCCAAATGTAGAAGTTCTCCCAATATTCCATAAATAAATTAGCATAACTTGGAGCAAACCTGGACCCCATAACAGTGTCTTTAACCTGCTGGAAGAAGTATTCTCCCATTAAAGAAAAATAATTGTGTGTTAAAGTATATTTCATACAATCGTCTAGAAAATTTCCTTGGGCTGGGTTAAACTTCCCTTCTTCCATAAGACAGTATTCAATGGCTCTGATGTCATAATTGTGTGCTATTGATGTATACACAGAGCCCACATCTAATAAAAGCCATCTGTGGCCAGGTTGCCATTGGTAATTTGACAGGATTTCCAACTTGTGATTAGAATCTCTGACAAAAAATGGGAGATTGATCACTAGATCCTGCAAAAAGAAATCAATTTAACACCCCCAATTGCTGGTGAGCCTATCTATCCCAGCTATAATTGGTCTTCCTGGGGGATTTTTAATACTCTTATAAGCTTTTGGGATGTGATAGAAGTGAAGTGTAACCGGATGTTTACTAAAAAGGAAATAGTATTTATTCTTAGTGAGTACATTATTGCAAACTTCTAATAACAATTTCAATTATTTAGTAAATACTACTGTAGGGTCTTTTAATATTTTAAATATGTGTCTGCATCCCCCAATTGCCTCCTTGCCTCATAGTCATCTCTATTTTGTATTACCAAACATTCTCCTTTATACTCCCGTTATATGACTACTTGTTGATTTTAAGACTATGCGACCACTACATGGGTATTTGTATCTATTTCCCTTCTTAGGGTTTATATTTTCAACCATATCCTTGAACTTGTTAACAACCACCTCATAAAAGGTGGGAATAAAATTCCCTTTAACCAATGGGGAAAAAAGTAGAAGGAGGTATAAAGGTGGATATACTGTATATTGGATTTATATTAAAAATCGCTTAAATAATGCATTAGGCCGATGCGCCCTCTCTTTCTTCTGTTATATCTTATAGTTGCTAAAGCGCATCCCACGTCCTAA